CACTCGGCTCCCCGAGGACCCGCGGCGAGGCTGGGCCTGCGGGTGAGAAGGGGCGACCAGATAAACTTAATAAAGCGACCATCCGCCTGTTAGACGTCACGTCGGAATCTCCCAAGGGAGCTTAGTGCGAAACCTCAAATTATACGGACCGGCTGTGGACCGTTTAATTTTTTCCTCTGTCCCTCCCCCGACCTTCCCAAAGAAAAATTAAGCCACCGGGCTTCTTCTTTCCTTTCCTTATTTTATTTCTTTTTTTCTGAGAAAGACGAAGCAACCACAATAATAAAAGCCCAAGAGTTTTGAGTCTAAAGTCACCACCACGCTAGAATCAGGACTTCAAAGCCAAAGCTCTCAAAAACAAACAAACAAACAAACAAACAAACAACCTTAAAGCAAAGTAAGGTTTTATGAGCCGATGAGCAGAGCTGGGCAGGTTTGAACATTTCTTAATATCAAACTCCAATCCCAAAGCCTCAAAATACTTAGTTTTCATTTCATGATTTTGAAGTCATAAAACTTGCAATGTTTTCGTACATGTAAAAACCAGCGTTTTAGGTAACTGGAACTTGTTACTTTATTCACTTGGGGAAAAAATCCTAGTTGTTATTTTCTCTAACAAACCCATTTCCACTTCCTCATTTCTCTCGTATTTTGTTAAAAAAGAGTCAGATACATATTAATAGTTCTCCCATGATATATAGCAGAGAAAATAGCAGCAAAGAGAGTCCCTTTTCTGAATCTATTCCTACTGTAAGAATGCCAGAGAGAAATTATAAGAAAGTTTGTCATGTTCTTGTACCAAAGGGCCCTTAATTTGTAACGAAGAGGCAATATGTACAATGGTTAGGAACTCTGATCTTCTAGTACCATCACCACAAAAGTGAGTTATTTGAACATTTAGAGCCTTAATTTCTTCATCTGTAAAATGGGGAAACAATAGTTTCAACCTCAAGAGATGTGTGAAGAGTCAGTGGGGTAATGCAAACATGTGGCACATAGAACGCATTCATTAAATACTACCTGTGGTTACAAGCGGTGGTTAGAGATTAACTTTTGAAAACAAGCAATTTTCAAATTCAGAATATTCTTTGTTCAGAGGCCTCATAGTCAAAAAAGTGTCAAGGTATTTTGTTACAAACAATAGAAGCGCATATAAAGCAGCTAGCACAGTAGAAAGCATTTAACAGGTGCTCAGTGATTTTTATTAGGTCATCATTTCTTAGAATAACATCATGAAGAATAGAGTTAAAAAATAGTACCTAATTCCCACATATATTTGATGAACCCAGGATAGATATAGATGTGTGTGTGTGTGTGTGTGTGTGTGTGTGTGTATGGCAGTGCCATAATCCAAAAACTTTTATGATAATTTTTGCTTTTTTGATTATAGATCTAGTATTTAAACTTGTTTAGAAATGGTCATCTATACAGACACTTCAAAACTAAACTTACCTATTTAAAATAAAAATAGAACACTGTTTTGAATGATCTACTCTGTATATTCTGAACGTTGAAAATTGATTACATTTAATTCACTGAATATTAAATCACTAAATTATCAGATTTATAAAAACAAGTAGTTTAAAGAAGCAAGTGGTCAAAAGTATTGTTCTAAATACTTAAGAAAACAAGTTAAATTTTTTCCAGAAGAAAGCCATATTTATA